ACAAGTGCCAAAAGGTTGCCCCAGAGGGTATGCGAAATTTGAGCGCCGCCGTTTTTACGTTATTTGTGAAAAACCTTAGGGGGGTGCATCAACCCCTCTCATCGGGCGAGGGCTAACTAACATAATACATTGTAGTAAAGGCTACCCGAACCGGTAATGATTCTTGCTTATTTGTTCAGCTCAGCCGTATTAGAGATTTAGCTGGCTTTGTCCATGAATAACAATATCGGCAGGGGCGTAGCCAAGGGGGAGGGGCCACGGGGGCAATGGCCCCCTCCCTTGAGCGCAAAACGCGCCATGGGAGGCCCCGGGATATTTTTTTCAAACACTGGATAAAACGTCTTTTACTCGGAAGAAAATTGATATCGAAGTTTCATTTCTCTGGCCTTCTGATGACCCAATGGGCCCCTGCACTCATCCGATGACCCCCGGTTTTCTGGGGCCCCTGGTCGCCTAGGGGGCCCCGGTCGCTTGAGGGCTAGTCGCCTGGGGGCCCCTGGTCGCCTGGGGGCCTGGTCGCCTGGCCCCTGCCCCCTGGTCGCCTGGAAGAACGTTTGTCACCTGCAGTGGCATAGCCAATGAGGGGGCCAAAGGGACCATGCCCCCCCTGGAAGCCAGGGGTCCTTATTCTATAGGGGCCCCTGGCTGACACAGTGGGCCCTTGGCGACGCAAAGGCCCCTGCGGCAGATCCTTTGACACAGCTGAGTAGTTATACTTTGGCCAAGAGAGCCCCAATTTTAGAGCCTTGGGGCCCTATTGAAACCAGGGGGCCAGTTGGATGGGATGGGTCCAACTTGGGTCCAACGGTGTGTAAACAGAATCAATGCGTTCCGACTGTTGGTCTGACCCTATATCGGTTTGAGGGAGCTCGGATCGGATCCACTGTCGATTTGAGAGGGCCCTATCGGTTTGAGAAAGCCCTCAAATGCCCTGAACGGGTCCTTAGTTTGTCTAAGAGAGCCCTCCGTCGGCATGACTGGGCCTCTGCAAGTGCAAGGAGGGCTTTTGTCGGTCTTAGTGGCCCTTAGGCGGCTTATATGACCCTCAGACGGCTTACGAGGCTCTCATGCGCTGTAGGGGCCTCTGACGGTCTGAAGAACCCTCATCCGACCTACGGGCCCTCAGACCGCCCTCAAAACCGACTGGCGACTCTATGAAGCTATTCGTGGGCCTATCTAACAGGGCCCATGGACTGCTCACCCCCTAAGTTCTAATATTTTTGTTAATAAATATTTTTTCCTATTTATTTGGGCCCCCTCCAAAAAATATTGGATGCAACCAGATGGCTTTTTGGATTTTGAGGGGGTTATCTTGGGCCCCTGTGCGTTTGGCCCCCTCCTTGAGGAAATCTTGGCTACGCCCCTGAATATCGGGCAACCAGAAAACTTTTTTGACCTTCAAACAGCATCCAGTTTGCTTAAGACCAGAAAGGTAGTACCGGACGTCCGGCCGGACCAGAATTTTTGCATTTGCTTCTGGGTGGGCAAATCGACGCCACTGGGTGGGCAATTGTGGTGACTGGGTGGGCATTTGCCCACCCAGTGGGTATGTTAGAGGAGGCCCTGAAAGGGGCAAGGAAAGGAATGTGAGACGAGGTTAGGTGGCATGATGGGGATGGGGGCGGGTCGCCTCACCGCACAGCGTCGTCTCCTCTCGCCCCCGCGCGGCGACTGACTCTCTGTGAGGCTCCGCGGTCAGCCCGCCTCCCCTGTTTGTCACTCTAGGGTGTTATCACTGCCGGCGGCCCGGCCGTGTGTACTTTACTGCCCCGTTCTCCTCTCCCGTCCCCTCCCCGCCCCAGCCTCCAACCCACGATGGTCGCTGCGCCGGCCTCCCGTCCGTTTCCCGCTGGCCAGAACCTCAGTTATCTTTGTGCGATAACTAACCGTTACGCATGGTCGAATCAATACGTAAAAAATTATGATGCTTTGACAGCTGAGTTCTAATGACATTTGCCTATGAGGTGCAGCATTTCGAAGGGTTCAACTGAACTTAGCCTGTTCTCCCGATAGCGGGCCTGGTAGCTGTTCGTATCCCGTGCAGTGTGCACCGAACCCTACACCTTGTACCCGGTCACACGTTTCAACACATCGGTGACACGTCTGTTGTCTATATCGAGAGGGACACATCAAAGGGGCCACCCGCGTCCCCTTTGACCCGACCCGGCGCGCGGTCAGCCGACATCCAGTGATCCTCTTACTGCGGCCGGCACTGTAACCAGAAACCCTCACAGCCGGCAGGAGCTGCTCAGCACGGGACCGCAGGCTGCCGGCTCAGCACTGCCGAGCTGAGCTGAATAGCTGAGACTGAGTAGGCGGCGCGACCAGTAAGACCGGTCTGCGGTGGAGCGCAGGGCAAACCGAGCATCCACTCTGAGCGCGGCTAATAGCGACCTGGGTGCCGACTACCCGATTAGATCATTTTAGGAAGTATGCCAGCTTTGCGGGCAAAAGAGAACACGCTAATCCCGCACAAGCTCAAGCGGTTTTAGCTTGGTTCGCCGCTGTAGTTATTTGAAGAAGTTTTTTTTTTTATAAATTTTGTCCGAACCTTTTGATGGGAAGGATTCACAAGGACAGAGCCACCGCTAAGCGAAGCTTGTTGCGGTGACCCTGCCCTCTACCCTCCGATCGCGCAATTCCGATTCTATGGCAGAATTTAGAGTCCAAAGTTTAACGTGCGCACAAAGCCGCGCACGGCCGGTCCCCTCGCTGACTTCGCCTGGCTACGGCCTGCCACCAACCGCAACCATACCTGTCAGGAGGCCCATAAATGTCGAGCGCCCGTCGCGCTTCGAACCCGGACTGTTATAACCGGGAACGCGTGCTCTCACCACGCGGAGTCCAACGCTCTAACCAACTGAGCTACGGGACCGGCTGACGTGGCTGACAAGTTCATACGCAGTGACAAGTGGCTGACAAGTTGACGTGGCTGGTAAAAGGGTCATCAAGAACGGCTCGGAAAATGGACAAGGATGTTCCCCCGAATCAAACAATCGCAAACGTGCACACACGTCATATCGGTGCTTAAATGCTAACATAACAGCGATAGCAGCCGAACAGCATGCGCAACATGCTCCTTTAACATTTAATTGGCGTGCGGACACCTGAAAAATGCAACATTATCAGGATTGTTCCCTGTCAGTCTCTTTTAAACTTCGTATTAGTTACCAACTTGTTTTGAACCATGTTTAACAAGGAAACTGGCCGAACGAAAACAACCAACTATCCCTCCACGTTTCAAACGAATTCCACCTAATATGCCGTGGAATTTCGCAGGTAAACCTCAACAACATATAAATATCGCCTGAATAGACTTCACCGACACGATCTTGAAACACGAGACCCGGGTTTGTTTTTTGGCGCCGTGTGCTCGTGTGCCGATCAGTGGAGTGTGTTGAACACGTCTCACGACACCGTCGATAGGCCCGCGCGGCGCCGGACCATCGCTCTATTCAATACCGCGGCGGCATGGCTGCAGGCCGCGCCGGTCTGGGTTGCATGTGACACGCTAGTGGTGTACAACAATAGCACGTGTTCAGAGAACAATTCTACCAGGGAGACGCCGGTTCAGTTCTAGGAGCGGCTTATACCGCCGTACTGGAAGGTAGGACAAAGTACCAGCTACGTGCTGGAAGCTTTTTTCTTTTTTCTCTCTCCTTGAGTCGAGTCGCGACTCGTGCACTCTTCAGTTCTTGTCCCCGCCATCGCCACAGTCATATTCGCCCCAGATCCCCCACCCCCACCCCCGTTCGGGTCACATCGTTACACATATGGCCGCCCGCCAAAGGCGGCAGTCACCAGGGCCGTTATCCTCCGCGCGCCATTCACTCCCCCCCCCCCTCTCGACAGGCGGCTGGGTCTTTTTGTGTCGCCGCCGCGGGCCCAGCCGTGGTAATCCTCCCTCACCGCCGTCCGGCGTCGCGCACTATGAATGACTACCGCTCCGATTAGAGGCAGTCATAATGGCTGCGTGTAATGGGAGAGCGTGTGGCGGCGGCGGCGGCTCCCAACTCTCACTAATGAACCGTGAAAATCCGCTCCGCGGCGCAGCGCCGGCAGATGCCGGACACGGCGCGTCACGGCCGGCGGCTACAACAAATAGAGGACGGTCTGGAGAGAGAGACCCGGCCGAGTCCGACCATCTGGTGAAGGGACGGGTGGGCGACCGCCAGCTGGGACAGGAGGGACGGCTGGGACAGTGGGATGGTGGGATGGTGGGACAGTGAGGCAGATGACAGTGGGACGGTCAGTGACAGATGGGCCTGGAGGGACAGACAGGACGAACAAAAGGACAGCTCAAGCAAATGACACTGGGATATTGAGACAGACAGCAACTGGAAGACTTCGAACATGCAGATATGGGAAGATGTGACATTGTGCCCATAGTGTAACAGTGCAGCGTGACGTGCCGACATAGCATGCTCACACATCCCACACAGCACGCCTGTTCTCTGAATGATGCAAGCCTGCACGGCGTCCTGTAGTCATTCCAACCTCGGTTCCAGGAGCAGGCCGCATATCTGGACATGGTTCCCGTCCAGTCGAGCACCGAACACGGCTATTATCTCAGTGACCAGCGGCTGACACCCATTACCATATGTCGCTGACAGAAGCGACCACTGCCCAGAGACGGTCTGCAGCAGGCCGACACATCCCGAACGATCTGTTCAGTGTCCGACAGCGCTATTTAGGCGACCGGAAAGTCTGAGAGGGCAGGAGAGCCGTGTTCGAAGTTGTTCACTGACACGTCCTTCTACCCGCTGAAGTCAGTTGATAAGGAGTTCGGAGGCATGTTGTAACCGTAAGAGGACAGCCTACCAATCTCGACCACTGGTGCTAGCTGCAATCTTGCATCTGCAGTGCATGGATGTGATGTGATAACCATGTGATAATGATGTGATAATGATGTGATGTGAGCGATTCGACGCCCTTGTAGCGACCCCAGCCATGGGTTGGGAGGCAGAACAGGCCCGAGAGTCCCAATGGAGACAACAGCGTGACTATGTTCACGGTTTATTTACATTCGCTCGGAAACCAGCGCGCCTGCCTATGTCAACTGCCGTCAGGAGATCCAGCAGTCCCGTGCGCTGTGATACGCCCCCAAATAGCGCCGCCCAGACCTCTGTACATATACTTTACACCGGCGCTTACACCCCCAAACACACTCCCATTCTCACCGTCACCCGTCCGGGCAGACGCTCTCACATTCTCACAGCATTCGCTCACGTCGACATAGTTTGTACTAGCACTGAATGGGAAACAGGGCGTCAGGTTCGACCTAACCGGGTCGCTTCGACAACAGGTCGCACCCCGGTCCGACGGCTCTGGGTTCTCTGTGCATACAGCCTCTGACACGCCACCACACCAAACACCGCCCGTCCAGTAACCGATAAAACGTAATACCCAGACCATGGCACGATGCGAGAGACCGTCCCGCTCCTGGAGTCTCGCCTGGTTCCGTGGTCGTGTGTGCCGGCCGCAGTCAGACCAAAAAATCAACTGAGAGATGTCGAACCAATATGGTCCGAGCACAAGTGACACACAAACGGCACTCAGCGACCAGCCGGACACTCCGGGACACTCAACACTCTGGAACACTCCTCCAGAGACCTCCAGCACGGAGTGTCAAAAACCAATCGCAACTTCGCATCCGCGGAAAACTCTCCGAGCCATAAAGTTGTCGATAACACAGTGCTCAAACAGTACGTCAAGTGCTCCAAACATCAAAACCGTTGTGCTGGCACTTCCTCGCACACAATCACCCACCAGAGCCCACGTCACTTCACTGCCGGTCACAACGTCACAATATCGGTCATATGACGTCAGAGTATCAACGAGCCAGCGTCGGCTTTTGTGACGTCATCACACATTGTCCGTCGTTCGCCGCACGCAGTTTTAAAAGATCACTTCGTAGACGGTGGCCTTCTTGTCTCCAGAGCCGGTGACGATGAACTTATCGTCGGCGGAAATGTCGCAGCTCAACACCGACGACGACTCCTTCGACTGGGAAGAAGAGACACGAGGTTGTTAGATAAATGGCAACTGCGGTTGGATCTGAAAACCGCTACGTTGCACTTCCAAACAGATATTAAGAGGATTATACCCGCTGAGTCAACAATCAATCATCGCTGCACTTTCTCGGTGATAGCGCTAGTATTTAATTTCTCTGTAAACGATAGAGAAAAAACCCAGTAGTTCCCACCTAAACACAATACAGAGAGCAAACAGCCATTTCTGTTCATCAGTCGGCGTCAATTATTCGCCAGTTAACTCTTCCATTAGGCCGCGCTCGCTCGGTTTGGCCATAAGGCACACCAGATGTTAGCCGGCGAGACAGCAGCGGCGGCGCCAATTGACCAATCAGAGCCGTATCGGCCTCCAAATTGACCAATCAGGGTGCGCTATCACAGATTGATCGGCTGTGTTAATGCTCGCCGGCCGGCAGTGACGAGCCGTTTTAACGGCCGGCCGGCGCCACTGGCGGCGCGCCGCTCATTAGGTACAAGGTTTCGCCACCAGCAGCCACGGACAAAGGCACGCCAGACAAAGGTCGATTCAAAGAAAAATCGGAGCTCGATCGATGTTTTAGAGATATGAATCGACGTTATTGGAGGGGGAGGCATCCTCATTGAAATTCCTCTCGTGTAGAGGCATCGACTGGTTTGAATTAGGGACGAGAATATCGTGTATGGTAGTGAATAAATATGTAGCTATTTCGGAGATAAGCCTTTATAACATCAAGCAAAAATACTCACCTGGAAAATAGAAGTGCCATACGGTGTCCTCCAGGCGTTGAGCAGGTTGTCCTTGCCGGTGGAGACGAACCACTTGCCGCACTGGGCGAACTTGAGCGAGAGCACGCAGCTCTCGTGCAGGTGCAGCTGGTACTTGTCGGGCTTGTTGACGTGCAGCACCTCGACGTTGGAGCTCTCCATGCCGACGGCCAGCCACTCGCCGGTCGGACAGAAGCCCAGCGAGAAGATCTGAGAGCTGAAGTCGTGCTGCTGCAGCTGGCGACCTTCGCGCAGGTCCCACGAGCGCACCGTGTTGTCCAGACCGCCCGTCCACAGCTTGTTGCCGTCGGACGAGATGTCAATGCACGAGGCGCCGTCCGTGTGCCCCTGGAACTGACGCACCAGCTGCTGGTTGTGCAGGTCCCAGACGGCGATGTTGCCGTCGCTGCAGCAGCTGAAGCACACCTTCGAGTCGGGAGAGATGGCCAGCGCGTAGCATGCCGGAGCCGAGGAGTTGAGTTCGGCCTTGATCCGGGGAGTGGGTGAGTTGAGATCCCAGATACTGAGAGTGCTGGCCTCACCACCGACAATCAGAGTACGTCCATCAGGCAGCAACTTCACCGAGCGGATGTAGTTATCCCGCTGCAGACACTCGAGCTGCGAGACGGGCGTCTTGGCGTTGGGCTGTCCGATGTCCCAGACCTTGACGCAGCCCTTGCCGCCCGTGTAGACGAACTTGGTGGGGTTGGAGATGGTGACTGCGCACACCACCTCTCCGTGACTGAGCGTGTTCATCTGGCGCGCGTGGCGCGGGATGCCGGGACCCAGCAGGGCGTCCTGGGGGAATGTCACCGGCTGCAGCTGACCGTCAGCTCCGACGTGGAAACTGTACGACCTGCCGACACAAGGAGACACGGCGTTACAGGGCAGCACAGTGTCACAAGGCGTCACAGCAATGCGAGATGTGACAAGGCGCAGCGACACAGCACACTGCATCACGAGTGTCGTGACACAGCACACTGCATAGTGTCACATAGTGTCACGACGCATAACACGTCATCACAGCCTAACATACAGCGTCACAAGGCGTCACACAGCGTCACGACACATCACAGCTTCTCACAGTCCATCGTCACACTGCCGCCGGGGACGCATTAGAGCGTGACGGACTCCAAGCGTGACCACCGCCGCCGCCGCCGCCGCGCCGCCCGGTGAGGTGACAAGGTCAGGAGCCGCCGCGACCGCCGCCGGGCAGCTTCCCGATCATTAGACTCCACTCGGTATATAGGGCCTTGCTCCACTCCGGCCGCCAGCCGGCCGGCCGGAGCCCCGCGGCGGCGGCAGTTGTGGCGCGAAGGTTACAAAAGGTGGCGCACCACCCGACGTCCGGGAGGGTGGCCTCTCGGTCCGCTGGACGATATATTCGTGGACTGGGGACAGCCGCTGACATTGCCCTGAGAGAGCGGCCAGCGGGCCTATTGAGTTGGACCGGAGGGCGGCCAGGCCAGCCCGTCGAGATCGGGCCGCGATACGGGCCTCTACCAGCCCGCCGAGCTCACGTGCTCCGAATACCTGACCGCCTCCCTCCCTCCCTCTCCCTACGCCCCCTCTCCCTCTGTCTCGGATATGTATCGTTTACGTCCCGCTGAATGCCAATTAGGCGGTACCAGTTCTGCTGCTCAGCCACGGCCGGCAGCGGTCCAAACCCGCCCACGGTCTCACTGCCAGAGACTGTACTTGAATTACGTCCGTGGCCGCATCTGCTCGAGAGCTCCCGTCGAGATATGAAGTTCCCGGTTCCCACAGCGCGGCGGCAGCTGGCTCGCGGAGCTGGGCCGCTAACCGCTCTGGGGACCGCCCCGGGCGGTATTCGGGTCACGTCTGGAGCGGTGACCGGCTGACGAGGTCACCCAGAACCGCCCCGGGCGGTGATTATTGGAGAGGGGTCACCGCCGGGGTCAGGCCGCCGCCGGCAGTGCGCACAGGCAGACCACTGAGGTGGCCGTTGTGGTTACTGCCGTGGCTGCTGCGGGCGGAACCGTGGCTCCCAAGAAATCAAGCGGTGCTCTATTGGAGCATGGCTCCCGAGCGAGCGATATGACGACGCAGCCTTCGTTAATCCTTACAATATGAGAGCTACAACCCCAGCGCACATTGAATCAAGCAACACGGAAATACCACCAGTTCCCTGAGGTTAGCTCCATCTCACATGACCATTCCACAGACCTCCATCTAACTAAATCGAGTCCAATCGCCACGTGGTCCATTCAGTCACATGACTGCCTCCATTCGGCACAGCCCACATCACGTGACTCGCCACACTGACCGCGCCCAGGTCATGTGACTAAACGGCGTCACACCGTGCACGTTGCCTCATTTGTATTCATCTCGCTGTCTGAGCAGCACCAGGGCGGGGGCGGGGGCGGCGCTCAGCAGAGACGGCGCTAATTAAGTGCAATCATCGCGCGGTAATGGCTGGCGACTGGGACGGCGGGGTGGCAGAGACCGCCCGTGAGCTCCCTGGGGGAGGGAGGGAGCGCGAGAGGAAGAGCAAAAGAGGCCGGGAGGGAGAGCGAGGGATAGGGAGAGGGAGAGGGAGGGAAGAGCAGTGTTAAAAGCTTTGTACTTATTAATTATCAAAAATTACAGGCAATTAGGACGACAGCGCACGGAATGAACCAGCCGCTGTCTCCATTTGCTCCACTTGGTCACCGATGACGTCACGTTCACCACCACTGACGTCACCTATTGGATGACCACCGACGACGGCGCTGACCTCAGAGCGTCCCTGGCAGCCGAGCTGCAGCGTTCATCCAATTAGCGACAGCCACGGCGGCTCGTCTACAGACCGCGTCACTTCCCCACGTGGGGGGGGGGGGGTCACGACGCCCCACTGGGAATCGTCTGGAGGCCGGGCAGTCGCACCGCGACACATACACGATGATGCAATAGTTCCGCAAAGCGGGCAGCGGAGACCATGACAAAGTCAGCAACGTGATCAGCCGGGCAGAGTCGAACACGGAGCATGCTAAATAATTTTGCTTTAATTAATTGACTTCAATTAAAGAAATGAAAAACCGAGGGTAATACAAAATGACGAAATTATCGGGTAATAAAATTGTCAGATCAGTGGGAACCGGGCGGTTTATGAACCTCAGCCTTCCACGAAAACCCTGATAAACAGGTGTTCTCACGGACGATATAGCTAAGGCCGTTATGACGCGCGGCCGCAGGCCTGCAAACCACACTGTCAAGGTGGCCTGCAAATACCTCCCGATTGTGGCTTTATGCATAATACAATAACATTCATTAAAGTAATCCTACTGCGATAATCATGTGTTTATTTGCTAAAGATCCGCTGAGCCTATTATGACTTACTACTACTAACAGACCACAAGGGTAGACGAAATCCTTCAAAACCACGAAACACTAAACAGCAGACAACAGTAATACGAAAAGTACACTTTCAGCGAAATAAGCAGCATAAAAAGAAGTCGCAGAACCAAAAGCTGCCGCAAAAGGAAACGCTTAATACCTAAATGTGGGCCCCCATTCATCGTAACTATTTAGCTTCAAGGCATGCTGAAATATACCTACCTTCCCATCTACCAACCACACCATGTTGCAAAGAAGGCGATTCACAGAAACCGACAAGTTGGACAATGTATGAATCCGTAAAATAGGAAACCACATACCTTCAGTTAGTTTCACATTCAATGGGACAATTTATAACCGCTTCAAAAGCTTATCATCTACATTTATAACCCGATGAAAATATGTCAATTACGGTAATTTTTTTTGTGGGGTCCAAGCGATGAACATGCGGCTATAAACTCTTCACAACCTTAACTGGCCAAACTTCACCACAAAATCCCCATTAACCCTCGAGTTGAAGACGGTATTACATTCCACGCCACAAGAGAAGGACGGTGTATGCAGGAAACTCGGGGTCCACGTAACTTCTTGAGCGTTGAGGATCATAGGGAGGGCGCACTAAAAGTCCTGCAGTACCTATAGGGCGGAGGGCGGGGGGTGGGGAGGGGGCGGAGCCAGAGGGGGCGCAGGGGGAAGCAGTTCGTGACGTGTTGTGATAACATCAACCTACCAGACATCATTAGCAAGAGACAGCGCACAGCGACAAAAACGCACCCCATTTGCATACAGAGTAGGTCCACCCCTCGGCGGCGCCGACCGGGGCGGGAGGGTCACGGGAGGGTCAGCCGCGCCGCCATATGTGGTCCAACGGTCACTGATTGACAGTGAGGTCAGGTGGGCGACCACCAATCACCCCCCCCCCACACACACACACAGCGGGTCCATACGGGACCAACGCTGCCATCGAGCGCCGGGTCCAGTCGTGGGGCAGGCGGGCTGCCAGGAAAAGTGTGGTTTACACCGCGTCTGTCGACCGAACACGGTATGACAGGTGTTCACAGCGGCTCACAGCGCTAAAGACGTGTTCACATCTGTCCGCCAGGGACGGCCACGGGAACCAAGCCGAGAATCGTGAGACGCAGACGGCTGGGCAGTATACGAAAGGCACCTGCAACCCTGATACGCGTTTTGTGTCACCCTGACGACAAAACTGACACACTGACCATGACCGGATCCAATGACCACCCATTCACCAATCCACGCATGATCAGACAGCGCCACCTCAGCCTCAGAATCATAGAACAACAGACCGCAGAGGCCACCACCTCATTCCACATCTCATCTCCATCCCATTCTCCAGTAATCCACACTCTTCGAATATTCCAGAGCCATCCATCCGCGCGCGATCCTGCGCCAACTTCGAGGAATCTCGTCCCAATCTTCTTTTTGTCTTCTCCCCACTCTCACGCGGTGATCGGGTCGGTCCGGCTCTTCCAAACAATAGCGGACAGGGCTGGAGAGGAAGATAGTCCGGAGAACCATTGTTCGAGGGGCGGTTTGACGGTCCGGCGGCTCCACCGACCAATGACTGTCTTATTAGCGCCCCAGCTCAAAGTCTGAGAGTGGTCGGGGTTTGTGAGACTGACCGGGTGGGAAGGGAGGCAGGAGCGGAAAAATAATGGAAAGGTATCGAGCCGAACGGACGAGGTAGCGGCAGCACGCGAGAGTGTTGCTACTCTTTGTCCAGAGGTTAGAATCCCGCGGCACAAAAAGACAGGTGAAAAGCGGAACCCCACGCGAGAAAATGAAAAGAAATTGTGGCAAAAAAAAAAAATCGAGCACGAATGGAAAATCAGGAAGGATGAGATCATGGGGATTTTTTTTTGCCAGCCACGCTCACAAGCTCCAGCTCTGTCTGAGACCTCGGTCCGACCCGAAGAAACCATAAGGACAAGTCGACACTGTCCTTTATTGAGAAAAAAAAAATAATACAGACAATAGACCAAACATCTGTCCAGAGCAGTGGTACAACAGGACAACATCCACAGGCGGGTCTTGAGTAAATTCGGGCTAATCTACCAGAGTGATCCTGAGGTCAGAGGTAAGGGAGAGACTCAGCCATTAGATCCAAACAGGTAACACAATGCTTCGACCAGTCTTCCAGGCGTTTGTGAGCGACAGTGCTACTGAGAGGTCGTCGAGTCTGAATTAGTGACGTCATCAGTTTCACAAGCTTCCACTGCGGAATGCACGCTACGCATGAACGAAGAAGTGCACCCTCGTCGTCCTCTGAACCCCTCATGGGAGTTTGAGTCAAGAGAGTGCTTAACCACATCACGGTTTACCTCTAAGGTTCACCACAACCATGCACCTCAAACAAGCTCGCAGCAGCTGGTTCCCTAAATATACCGGCAACTGTTAGTGGGTGGTGGGCTTCAGTAAAATCCCCGGTAGTCCAGAGCTAGCCCGCCGCGAAAAATACCAAAATCACGACCGGGAACGGGAGCTTCTACCGGGAACGCAACCCACAGATCAAAGTGACTATTTATTGAAGTTCTGTGGAGTTGTTTTTCACCCAGGAATAACAAAGCCTGGGAGATCTTCTATAGTTTCTTTTAACATCAGAGCCGAGAGGATTGAATGCGAACTAACAACAGCCTAGATCGAAGTAGGAGCGTCGTTACGGATGTGATTATTTTCCACCAAGATGCAGTTTCCAAGAGCACTAAACTAAATGAGAATGAGTTGCCAACGCGGCTGAACAAGAAACGTTTATGGACGACATTTCTGGCGGCAAACGAAGTCAGGTAGAACAAAAGAAAATAGAAAATAGACTACTGCTGAGGCAAACATGAACAGCACTGTTCATGTTCGCAGGCTCTACTATTCGCACTTGCGAATAGTAGAGCCCCAGCGATAGCGACCAACAAGCAGCGAACAGCTTCAACATCCCTGTAATAGCACCCACGATAAGCTCGTATCGCGCACTGTCACCAGTGACGTCATCATCTGACACCACCGGACGAGCTGTGACGTCATTTGATAAGTGAATACGCAGTCGGTACACAGCAACACCAACAGACCGGTGTGGGTACAAGCTAGGAGCTGGGATTGAGAAGATACACAGCGATCACCTACCACTTATAAAATACCGACTTCTAGAATATTATACCACGGCAGAACAGGATGTCGATCCAATAACTACAGGTCAGAGATAAGTGATCACAGTGTCTGTCGCCTACAGAAAGGGGTAGACATAACCAATACCAGCAGCAAAAACCGTTCAAGTACCAGAAACTTTAACTGCAGAGACAGGCGAATGGCAGCTCGACAGTGACTCAGGCTGCGACTCATCACTGGCGGAGCTGGGTTGCGTAAGACTGGAGAGGAAACGTCGAATGCTCCTCTCCGGGCGGCCTACCGATAGAGGCAGGGTTGTGCTCGACTCAAAAAAATTTGCCGACTCGACTCATCATTCAACTACAGAAAGCCCTGACTCAACTCTGACTCAAACAAGGAGCTGATTTTTTCCCTTGACTCGACTCATGACTCAAGCGGCTCAATGAAAATATGAGTTGACTCAACCTTGACTCAAATTTTTTGTTGAGTCAAGTGGGTTGACTCAAAATTGACTCAGATAAAAAAGTTGTTGAGCGGGGGGGGGGGGTGAAAAAAATCCAGCAGCAGGGCCAGGGCTAAGGTGTTAAGCGGGGGGGAGTGTTTGACTCAACTCAATGTCAAGTTATTTTACTGACTCAACTCTGACTCAACTCAACGCCTTACTATTTTTGTCTGACTCAACTCTGACTCAACTCACAGCTCAACATTTTATCCGACTCGACTCAAATCTGACTCATTTGAGTCAGAGTTGAGTCAAATTTCTGACTCGACTCATGAGTCAAGCACAACCCTGGATAGAGGAGCGGCTAACAGTGTGTCGGCATCAACAGAACAGCACGCGGGGGACGAGGACGGAAGGCATAAGAGCGGCGACTACAGACAGGGGAGGAGTCGCAGAAGAACGGTGGAGAGACGGAGTGCAACGCACATCCTGATCCTGACGAATGCGGGTGGGGTCGGCCCGTTCACATTTCGGAGCCAAGTGCCAGTGCGAAGGGCGTACCCGGTTAGAGAAAGGGGTAGGGAGAGAGAGAGAGAGAGAGAGAGAGAGAGAGAGAGAGAGAGAGAGAGAGAGAGAGAGAGAGAGAGAGAGAGAGAGAGAGAGAGAGAGAGGGGAGGGAGAGAGAGAGCGCTCGCCGCTGCAGACAGTCTCAGTTAGCCGGGCCCGGTATTGACGCGGCTGCAGTGGGCCGCTCCGTTTGTAAACACCATAATAAACCGGCCATCAGGTGAGATACGGTCTCGTTCTGTGTGTATCACACAAACCACCGCCACACACCAAACACACAGCAGAACGGAGCGCCCCCCCCCCCCCCCCCCGGAGGGGGGAACGGCAGCGTCTGCAGCTGGCTGTACGTGGGGGCACAGCGCTGGCGGGTTAACGTGCTGAACGTCGTAAAAGCGTGGTTTACAGGGGTGGTTTGACGACTAAAGTCAACACAGCTGTGCGGAGTGAGATCGTGTTGGCACAGGCATTACCCCTTAGCCGCCGGTTGGCAAAGGATCGACTGCCATAAAAACATGAAACCGCTAGGTCGAACAGCATAAGGGATGAACGTTTGACGTATCTACACAAACACAAACAATAAAAAAGAGTGGCTGTCGCCTTGCACATATCTGACAACAAGCACAAGCAGAGGTAGCAGAACAAGCCCGCTAACACAGAGTCCAAGATAAAGACAAGCTAGCGATAACAGTTTGATTGCACTTACGGCTTTCCTCCGGGTCCGGTGTGGCCATTGGAGGGGATCGGAGGCGCGCGTACCGGTCCGTGGGCGTCGTAATTGACCTGCTGGGTCACAGAGGGGTCACCAGGTCAGTCGGGGTCACACGAGGTCACACATCCAGCGCTGGTCATGACACACCACATTCAAACACACAAAAGCTACAAACCCTCCCCACAAACACGATGGGGAGAATGACTGATCGTGAGAGGCCAGCGATTGGCAATATTGCGAATGGTTCGTCCGTCCCCTTACAAAGGTTCATTTCATCGTTCCATTTTGCGTTCCTGACTTTTTTAAAATCCGCTCTTCCTCGCAGGGCTCCAGCGCGTGCGTTATTCTGAGCACCATTTTCGCGCGCGGCCGCGCATTTTCCCCGCCGTTTGGCCGAATTGGCGCGCTCCAACTCAATCTCTTCTGGGCCCTCGCGGGCACGCAAACAGCCGCCACGGCGCCGCCCCCAGCCATATTGGCGGCGCGCGGCCCCCAGGGTCCCGGGACCATCGGCGGACCGGCACCGCCGGAGCAGCGCCCGCAGCCAGAGAGCAATCGATTCCACCCGCTAAGAACTCATTCTCCTGCCGCCCTCCTGGCTGCTAAGAAAGGCGACGAATTATTCATCAGGGAGCCGCTAAGGGCGAGGGAAAAATTGAATTTGGCGTGCAGATGAAGACGGCAAGATGGCGGATAGAGCTGCGGGAAATAAATGAGGCAGTGAGGAAGAGAAAGGGGAGCGAGGGAAGCAGCCGCATCGCGCTTCCAATCTGGTGCCTCAGAGCTCTGACGGCTTTCCCAATGAGGTGCCACAGAGTAACTTATGAGAAAAGCGACTAACGGGCAGCGCGGTTACTTGAGGAATAAGCATTACTGTCATCAAAACCTACAAAGACGTTTGTGACTCCCTGCAGCTATAAATGTCACAACACCATCAATCTTCTCTCTAATATGCGCTGCAGCGCCACGGTTGTAAGCAACATTTGTTTAAACCAGCTCACTTGGCAAACATAGCACCGTTTGAGTTGCACACAAAGTGTTCCTAACGACACTTTATTCACGCGGGCGCCCTCCGAGGGTTGCATATTCCACCTCGCCTACCGTCAGCGTCTAACAAACATCGTACTAGACCGGCACGTGAGGTTCCACTCTAATCACCCCCCACAGGACAAACACTCGCCTCCTCCAACAACACACACTTCACAGTCAAGGCGGCGCGGTGGAGCGAGGAGTGTAAAGCACGCTCTCAGCTATACAGGACGTGAAAACCTGAAGTCCGCCAGCGAAACCGACTGTGTGTCCGAAAGTATGCTAACATGGATGTGGAAACGGCATGATTTTGCGAGAATATATCACTTGAGTGTCACTATAAGACGCGATACCCGCTTTTCCCCCTCCCCATAAACCTCCATTCCTTGGGGTAACTCATCCTTATACCCCACCCTGGATCTTCTACTCCCCGGGTTCACAAAAATTACTGCGTTAGTAAAGGATCACTCTTACTCCCATAGCACTCTCCCTCATGAGTCCACTTACCGGTGGTCCTCGCAGGTAGCCGGGTGCCATGGGCGGAAAGCCAGGCGCCGCGCCGGCCGGCAGGTCAGGTCGCTGTCCGGGCGCCATGTACGGAGGGTAGCCGACGCCCGGGGCACCGGTCGCCGCCGCCTTCAGGCTGCCGTTGGGCGCCGACGTGGGCGTCAGGGACTTGCTCACTGGGGTGGTGGGCTTGTCGAGCTGAAACGGTGCCGACACACTGAGAGGGGACGGGCGCGGAGCTCGGGCGTAGCGCGGGGGGGGGGATAAACACTGAACGACCAGTTAATATCGTTACACAGAGTGAAGAAAGAGGGAGAGAGCCATAACGACCACCAGTCACGGCACACAGCTGATTGACACGAAAACAACGACACACGGTTAACAGCACGCGAAATATGACTGCCAAACACGACATAGGTATAATTCACTCTGTGAAAATCCCAAGATAGCCACATAATAAGCGCATCATAATTTGATTCATTAGTTTTTCCGCACGCCATTATTCAAATTGCCCGTGCGGAAAATAACGACGGCGGAGTGGCGGCGGCTTTCGCCACCACTCGACATTTCACAGGAAATATCGTCGCGCCACGGAAGAAATATGGGGCTCACCAAATGACTTGCTAAATCGATGCTACCGTTGCAAACGTCTCCAAATGCATTACTTTAAGTGGCCGGGGGCCGGTCGACCCCTGTGGTGTACTCAGAGGCACTCGTTCACGGCAACTAGCCGCCACAGTTGAGCGGCGGAGACGGCGCGCTGAAGTTTGCACAAATGCGTCTCTGCCGTGCGAGGGTTGCTGGGGCCGGGCTGTGCAGTGCCCGGAAGCAGACTCGGGGTCTGAGTCACCGACTCGGGAACTGGGACTGGTTTGGGTAGCAGTCTCGCCGAATGAATCGTCAAAAGAGAATGGATGATGTCCACCAGCGCATAAATTGTCTATCACTCGCGAACAATGTTCTTTGCTTGCGTTCAACTAGCACAGTGACAGCGTTACTTCTAATGCTTCATGCTTCAACCTATGTGGCTGCAACATATGTCCCAATATGTGTGCGTAAGTGCGCGCTGTATCTCTAATTTCACTTGCATCACCAAGCCCCCAGCTGGCCGGTATCAGTGAACCCAACAACAGGCGTTCCCCTGGTAAGCTTCCTCCCCCCCGTATAGGGGTGTGTGGCGGGCGGGCGACACCAATTCCCACTTCCTGCACGAGTGGTGTGCACGCTCCACGGCCCGACCCCTCGCGGTGGGCACTGTGCAGTGTGCACTGCAGGGGTGGCGGCAACAATGCACCATTGGCCCGACACGCCGTCGTGTTGAGCAGAACCGATCCGGAGGCACGAGTCGGTAAGGGCACACAGGAAGGGATAGAGGAAGCGCCGAACCCGATTTGGAACGGCTCGAGATAGCGCCTGTTCAGGCAAAGCAAAAAAGGAAGCAGCAAGCCCAGTTGATTCAGCAAAAGGTAAAGAGCAAGGAACTGCGCGAAAATAACATATTGTATAAAAAAATTCAGTGAGAAGGAGAAACCATGATAGAGACTAGAGAGCAAGCGCATAATCAGAGTGAAACACTGACAAGGGTAAACCAAAGGGCGGCACTGACTTAGGGGTCAGGTCAATGAAGGTTTTGAACCGAGGACAAAGGTCAAGCCAGAGAGCGGACCCCGACCCAAAGGTCAGACAATCGCCTTCGCTACTGTGTGCAGGGTAGTTATCGCCAAACATATTCCCTTTGTTTGTGTACGGGACCTGCGGTGTACACACTCTGTCGGCATGGCCGGCGCAGCGGGGCGTGGGTGCTGCATTTTTCAGGTAGACTAACGAGGCTCGCGCCGCTGCGTGTTTGGCGGCGGCAACCGGGATCAATAGGTCGGTCCCGCAGGGGCACACCCACGCCTCAGCGCAGGGCGCAACAGACTCAGTTGAGCGTTCCTCCGAGACAATGCGCGACCCGTGATGAAGGGATGGCGTGGCGAATGGAAGCGTCAATGGGTCAGCACCAGAGGGCATTCGCCGGCGGCAGGCACAAAAACCCACGCTGTGTACTCTGATAACTACGCGTCAGCTCGGCGTGGTCCGCAATGTGACGTGTCCGTTTATTGCCGCAGTCCATTGGCACAGCGGCATAACGCTATCGAGTCAACACTGCAGTGGCAATCTTCGTCCGCTCTTTGCGTCAGCCACTTGGCGAGGTCGTTAGGCACACCCATCGCCGCATGTTGGCAGTGAAAATACGACCGGTCCCACTCCCTCGGGCCATGGGCAGGTCGACGTTCACCACTCGCTGCGCCCATCAACCTCTTCGCCTATCGATCCGGCTTTGTTGGGGAGCGTCGGGAGGGGAACGTACTGCGCAGACCCTTCCCAAACATCATCACCACCGGACGGGTGAGACGCAGGGTTGTGTCTGTCCACAGAGCGACGCTGTGTTCCTGACCACGCTCTTCCCTGAGACCAGGGGGCGGCCCGCTGGTCGCCAACCCCGCTCCGACCGGCACAACAACCGACATCGATCGATGCCGAGGTCCCGAGAGGGCCGACCCGCCGTCGAGCACGGCCTATCGCCCTCGATCGCATTTCGCACTCTGCCGGACCAGTTATCTGGCGGAGGAACACGCAGTAACGCGGCCCGGAGGCAGGGACGAGATGTCCGTCCGCGATGTTGGCGGAGCTGAAGGATCGTTAAGCGGGACGGACCCTCCTCGCCGAGGTCCGGCGGGCCGAGACGTCGTGAGGACCGAAAGGCCTAGATCCCCGCTGTGATCCCGGGAAGGGAGAAGCACCTCAGAGGGCCGATACCGGGGAGAAGTACCTCGCGGGGCAGACATCAGTCAATCAGCTCTACCAAGGGACTGTCAAGGTCAAGACACTTTTCTACTTGACAGGAAAGCCATAAAAGCACCCTTACGGCAGGGCTTTGGGGGTCTGGAATGGACGAGCCTTGTCTGAGCTAATCTTTCTCGAGACATTGGACATGTCTAGTGTCTACCCTTCCAGCAACCCCAGTAACGCAAGACCTCTTCAAGCCTAGTTACCATCTCTATCCATACCTCAGGCCACCACGTGGGGCGAGCGAGACGGCGAGTTCCAAGGTCTAGTTCCCAAGCTCTGGGGCAATTCCAGGGGTGATCAATGCATTCGGGTGTCCAAGATGCCGGTTCACTGACCACTGGATTTCTCACAAAAGCCTGATAGACAGGCCACAAAAACATGCCACAAAATCAAACACTGAGTACTGTTCAACTGCGCACCGCGACGATCGAGGGACAGTGTCCGACACGATACAAACAGCTCCAATGGTCAAGAATAAGGATGGAAAAAGGGAAGCAAAACATATGTCTTACACAATACACATTTGGAATTTACCAGCAAGAAACCACAGACAAAAAGTAACTGACAAGGCACACGTGATACCTATTGAGCACGTGACAACTTCCTATCCCTACCTATTTAATTTCCACAGCACACCACACGGTCATTATAAGTTATAACACATAGCACACAAACCAATAATCGCGTCCACTCCCTGTAACCTCTAAGGAGTCCTGTTCATCCCCACCCCCGGACTCAGCCCAGCCAATATCGACACCACCCTGTCCGTCCACGGGGCCGTAACACGGGGAACACGCCGCGCGGTGCTCCCTGGGGAACACCTCAGCCCCATCGGGTCCTGATGGTGATTGGGTCTGCAGCGGCGGCCGACCCGACCACTCGCCGTAAACGTCAGAGTACGAAATCCGCCGGGTACGACCGCCATATCCGGCGCCGGGCGCTCGTAGGAAGGTGGCGGGGTCCAAACGGCGGCTGCCGGGGTCAGGCGGGGACTATTGGCTGCTCCAACAGAGACAGACTCCATTTGGAGGCTTTGTTGACCCCGTATTGAACGCCGGGAGGGAGGGGTGTACTCCCCAATGTGGGGGTGGGTACCCACCCAATGCAATCACCCCCTCCCCCACCAGGCCCCACAGCAGGTGGTGTGTGCCCGGAGCGTTTTCATTAGTAAAACAGACCGTGGACGCCGGGTACATAAGGGCTATCGCCTGTGGCGTGTGGTAATCGCCCGCACAAATAGCCCCGGGCGGTGTCCACACGGGGGGGGGGGGAGGCACCTGCCGCAGGAGGGGAGGGGGGGGGGGGGTCACCAATCATGGTGACACCCGGCTGTATTCGCACCACGGCAGGTGACACACGCTTCCTTTGTCCATATCGACAGTGATTTGTGTGCCGTATTCATTAGAACATTTTTGATAATAGAAATGTGTGTCAAAGGCTGCTATAACCAAAATAATGGGACACATCTAGTTATACCCTAAATAATGAAAATGCAATACAACCCCAAATAAAGTATTATCAAAATCAAAACAAACTTTTATATGCAGCCAATAAGCAAGGATGCATGGCCACCAGGCTACCAATGCCACGAAAACAGGGCTGTGCACCCATTACAGAAAAGTGACGAATTGCCATCTGCAGCCGGCCGATGCAATGCCTCATCAACCCCACCCCGAAATCACTGCGCGTCCGGAGCGATTGTGGCCGCGGCCATCGTCGCTACCCTACAGCGCTGACTCGTGTTCCTAAGGGGACACGCGCGCCATAAAAGAGCAGTTATCGCCGACGGGTGGGTTAACGCTGCAGCGATGGCACCCAACGGATTTACGAGAGTAGGAGAGTCCTGACTCTGATCTGGGAGTCAGAGCGACGGACAGATCAGACACAGAAGGGCCGTGTTCGACAGAAGGAAACGAACACGACAGACAATGTTGTACACGTTTGCAAGAACATCAACAAGCTCTGCTTATCACTTACACAGAGACAAGGACACAGCAGAGATCAAGGTGCTGCATAAAAAGCTGAGCCGAGGATACAACCAAAGGAAACAAATCATACAAGTGATCGTAGGAGAAACATGTGATAATGTGCATATGAAGACAACAGCTAAAGATAGACCAAACTGCACAAGAAAACAGCTGCATAGGCGCCGGAAACCACAACTGAAACAAGTTCCTCAACACTGCCTCAGAAAGCAACGCTCGTGACTTTTCCTCAAGACCACCACAACTTCCTCTGGGTTGGCTTCCGTTGACAGATAGCGGCACAGCGACTATAAATGATACACTGCACAACCGGAGGTGTACACGGAGTCACAGGGGACGGTACACTAACCATCGGAAAGTGTGCGTTGTACCAGAGGAAGCGCGTACTGCATTACAGACCACACATCCCTTCCAGATATGCTCACCTCCCACCCCTCACCCCAACACCACCGTCCGGGGCCGCCACTTACCGACTCTTTGCGGCTGAGGCTGGGCGTGCTGCGGCTGCTGCTGCTCTGACTGGGAGGCCGCTCTCCTCCGGGAGGGGGCTTTCGGTCGTCGGAGGATCCAGCACCGGCCGCGCCGCCGCCGCCGCCGCCCGGTGCACCGTTCCGCAGGTCCGAGGGGCGAGGCTCCCCGTTGTGACGTGGCGAGGTGTCGTCAGGTCCGGCGACGTCTACCACCAGATCTTGGTCGGACTTTTCGTTGTCGGACTCGTGATGCTGTCGGGGAGAGGGCGTGGTCAGAGAGGCGGTACGGGGGACACGGGGAAGGAATTGTATCGCGCCAATGGGTTATCAGTTCACCGCGTCAGCAGATAAAAGGAAAGGTAGGGAGGGACAAAAAGACGTCACAGAAAGAGGCGAAAGCAAGACGACAGTTGGGAACGCAGACATCGTGCCCATCACAGCGAAATTGAAACCAGAGAATCCAACAGGATTTTATCGGTATTATCATCGGTATTTATTTATTTATTAAAATGCCACACTGGACAGTGTAACGGCAAATCCAAAGCAAGGAGCACCTCCTGCATCCTAAAACCTATGGACGATGGCTGAAAGGGCAAGCCACTCGCAACAGCACTCGTCAGCGTAAGTGCAGCTCCAAAGACGGTTCAACAGCAATGCCATTACACTTATGTGGGCACGTAGCTGGAGAACGCTATCAACATTTTACAAGACGTCTTTCAAATAAATCTTGTAAACATGAACAGGATTTAGGAGTCATATGCATTACAACAAACAAGGTGGTGTGGGCAAAGCAAATAAGCTCAAGGTACAGCGACAACAGGAAAAACGCAGCAACATGAATACGTTTGAAAAGTACGAACACGTGTTATCTACTTTTTACCAAACTTGGACACATAAAATGACATTGAAAGCAACAAAATGTCACGTTTTATCCACTTAAGAAAGCTAAAAGATAGACCAACACATGTACTGATAGCTATGTCACATACATCACCTCACTGAATCGTTTCAACATCAGGCGTAAGATAACAATGTCAGTCGATTTGAATTCAACTTAATCACCGTATTCTGACAGGCAGAGACTGACAATCTCCAAGTGCCTCACTCCTTCCAATCCGCCTGACATGCCACCCACCTAGCAATGTCACACTGGATAGACACAGTCATTTGTCTGGTTTAATCCGTGGCCTGTTTAACTTACGAGGTGCTGACCTTTGGAAGGCGCTCAGTGGAATACCATTTGTCTCATAAATGTCACGCGGCCGGCCTTACAAGTGGCGCTTTATCTGCCACGCTGACAGACCGACATCGGGGCGAATCTGTCACGCCACGCTGACGCGATGACGGACGAACGCCGGCGAGAATCCGTCATCCTGACGCGCCGCGATGAGGCTCGATGACGTCCGATTAATGGCGACTTCATCTGCGCGACTCCTCGACGGAGTTTGATGGCCATCACTTTCAGCTCGACTGACGGGATATCGGCCCTCATATCACCGCCATCATGGCCGATACTTCAACTCTAATCCCGGCATTGATGACCAGGGGCGGCGCCACGGGTTTTCGATAGGGGGGGACGGGGACCGAAAATCGAAAATCCCAAAAGTAGATACTGATCGTGTATGCAAAAAAAAAACGAGGCACGTAACGCCGCGAAACTTGGCAAGGCCCAAAACACATCGAATAGTGCATCCCGTTTCCAAACTTATCCTAGGACACCTAAGATCGATCACCTTTTCAAGCATCCTTGCCTCTAAATTAAAATTTGCAGTCTTGCCAACTCAAAGCTGGTTTCCTACAAGCTGCGAATTGCTTAGGTATGAGTAGCAGTGCCAGCTACTCTTACGTTTCGTACTTTCAAATTTTCGATCTTACGTCTGGTCAGCTTCAGGGCTTCACCATCATATAGTCATGGAGGAAAAGTGGGAATGTCTTCTGCTCTGACAAGTGCGCCAAAATTGCAATATAATTTCAGAATCATGACATCACCACCTGATCCATATGCAACGGGCAGGGTGCAGCTAATGGCTAGCCGTCAGTGGTCATGTCATCGGTGGTCACTCAAAAGGCCATGCTAGGTCATGGAAGGTCACCAGCCGTTATTTGATCACACTTTCTGATTGATTTTACTTGCCAAGAGCTTTGCGGGAAAAACGAGCGCATGCACCGTTGAAAAAAATGAGTGAAAGGGTCTCAGGTCCGGCGACCTCTGCAGGTGAAATGCCCCAGGGTAGGATTCCGGTGCTTGTTGATTAACTTCGTCAAAAATGGCAGTAGAGCTGTGATGTCGGCACCATTGTGTTCGTCATGATCGAGCTGGCGCGACCTGCATCGTTCTCATATTCACCCTCCAATCGTAACAACTACAGCAGGGATTGGCAAATGGCGGGGCACTCCCTTTGGGAGGTAATGAAGGTCTCTGGAAACATCATCCCACATCCCTTTAGCATTAGTGGCTCTCCTTATGGAACAGGTTTCTTGACTGGTCTGTTTCACCCCAGAATTCAAAGACTAGTCAAGGTAAAGCCGAGCGCACCACAGTGAGCACAATTTGATAAGCTGGTGTATCTCAATTTTCATGTAGAACCTTTCACGTATCACGTACCTAAAACCCTTTCGTGCACTCATGCAAAAGCAACTGCCATGTTTCAACAGCTGGTAATGGCATTTTCACAGCCGCTGACGTAAGAAGAGGAGGGATGGGGGGCTCGATTAGACCCCCAGCCGTTCGGCCGCCGACCGAACTTAGTTTTGCAGAAAAAAACGAGTGCTATCGAACCCCTTGACGAGAGGGAGCCGATGCTATATCCAATTATAAGGTCTTGGGCTACTGCGTGCTTTTTTGGTCCTGCCTGTGATCTATCCGAACACTTCTCCCCACAAGTGCTGGGGTTAAATGGCATAGATTTCAAATGGTTCCTGTGGTAGAACTGCCATGCTTGAATTTGACTAATTAGGAATGGAAAATTTTCATATAGTAACGGAAATCTATGGAATTTCAGTGAACTTGGTTTTATCGGCAATGGGGTCTGGCAGTGGGGTGGGGAGGTAATAAGTAATAACCCTGCCTGGCGCCCCAAAAAGGGGGCACGATCCCCGAGGCCCTGCCGATCACCTTATAACTACAGGCATCACAGCTCCACACCTTTTGCAGATGGCCAGGACCCCCTGCGATGCATCCCAACAGCAATATTTATTCAGAACCTGCCTTGATTAACCAACGATGCATTAAATGCGACGGATAGCTCTATAATGCATTATTATCAACTATTGAACGGGCCTCGCCGATAGGGGGGTACTGTACCCCCCTAACTTTCGATAGCGGGGGACCTGTCCCCCCCGTCCCCCCCGGTGGCGCCGCCCATGTTGATGACCCTTATCGACCGCTACCGTAAGATAGAGAGGCGTCACCACTTCAGCGCCTCTCGAAAGCCACCGCGCGGCGCCACCCATCTCGCACTCACCATGACATTTTCACATCGCTGGCGGATGAGCAAACAATCCCCGGGCCAAGGCTTCGTCACTCACCCCACGACCGCCTGGGCTTGTTTCATGTTTACCAAAGGCGTCTCAGCACATTTAAGCCGGCGGCCGACGGGCATTATCGGATACCGTCCGGTAAACATCGGTAACCCTACGCCGTCCAAATAATCCCCCGTCGCGAGATCTCCAAGATAAACAGTGCAGCGCGTCCACCGCGCGGCCGGTTAGCGCCGCGTGGTGCGCCGGCCGAACCCTCGGCTACTGACTCACCGCACCAGAGGCAAACGCGGCGCACTGATAGTGACGTCACAGTCCACAGTGCCGCAGCCAAACACGCAGAAGGGGTGGGCATTCCTCAAGCGGCCAGCGAGTCGACCATTGCCCATCTGTCTTCCACTGACTGACACGTCGACCGCGCAGTGCTGTGCCCTCACATCAAACAGCTCATAACTCAACCAGAAGATGCTTCAATCTCCGCTGTGGCGTTACGCCCTCTTCAACTCTGAGCTCAAATCCCCACCATTCACAGGACGCCAGATGGGACGCCGGAGAATGGGAGCCATTCGCGGCTTCCAGCCGGAAAATGGATGCCGACAGCCCAATGACGTCACTGGGAAGCAGGTCGGCGCAGCGCTCAATGGACGCCGGTGTCACGTGACCAGACCTATGACGTCATAGGAGTCGAAAGAGATGAATAAGCTCACGTCTGCGATGGTGGTATCCGCCCGATGGAATCGAAAATGAGAGACGGCTTCAGCTTTATGGTTTGAAATGGACGTCATTGACGGATAATCTGACGTCTCGGCTGCCAAAAATTTCTCGAGAGATGATCTCTGTTCAAACTTCAGGGCTTTACATTACAGGATAAACGAGCGAAAGCCAAGCCTTTCAATCAATCATTCTAAGCTAGCGATGGAATTACAATCGGCGGTCTTCGAATCTCAGCACACGTCTAAGCCCTCGTTGACGTACAGCGTGCATATGTAATGACTCCACGGTGCCACGCACACCTCCACCAGACAAGACAAGGTCACAGGTCACTGCCTAGTAGAGATGTCAATCGGATACCAACTTTTTGGTATACCGATACCAAACCGATACCAACTTGGTATTTGGTATTTCAATCGCAGTGTGTTTGGTATTTTGTTGGTATCATAAGCCCTCACTAATGTATAAGAGGCTAAGAAATCGGTAAAAAGTTGGTATTTCCCTCAGTTTCCCAAGTTGGTTTGGTTTCGGTATTTTCCCGTGGTTTTGGTTGGTATTTGGTTTGGTATCGGTATTCCGATTTTCCGTAATTGACATCACTACTGCCTAGTGCCTACGCTCCACTGGTCGCTGCCTACACTCTACTGGCCTACCGCGGGCGACCGCAGCATCCAGGCGGTGGCCGCGCCGCCGCACTGACCACAGGAATGCGCCGTTCAGCCACAATGTGGCGCCTACAGCCTCTGAGACAGCCAGCTTCCCCGCCACAGAGAGGTGGTTATACTTGGAGTAGGACCCTCGTCCGCGGTGTCGTGACTCAAGTCTACTAAGTCACCCGCAGACGCCGCAAAGCATATCGGTTGGTGACGTTATGTCAGACTGGTGACGTCATAGTATGAGATAAGAGAATGAGTCCCCATGTCTGGGGTGCGCCTAAAATCGCTCGTCGATTAGAAATCGATCACCGACTTGCAGACCTTGCATGATAGGCTAATAGAATAATCCCAGAAACACCAGCTGACCGTGACCTTCTGTTGCCTAATTTTGGGTATCAGATGCCAAGTGCGCCCGAAACAGACAATCACCTTCCCTTTCCCCCCACGACCTCTCCCAAACCTCTCCAGTCTATGCCCCACGCCTCCCAGCTCCGTGACACCACTGACCTCACGCTTGATGTTCTCCTTTCGCCGTTTGACCTCCGCGTCCCGCTCGTCGGGTGTACGGGACCGCGGTCGGACAGGCTTTTCTCGGTCCCTGACGTCAGGGGACATGGATCTCCGCTGAAACAGGCAGCAAAAAGAAGTCAGGCAGGCCCACAGACATGCGGCGGCGACGCATCAACTAAATCAGGGACAGACGACTAGTAAATCATGCAGATGTCACACGGCAATGAAAAATTCGTGAAGTTCCGTAGATGATAAGTCGATAATTATTCATTTGTGATGTAAGCAAAGCATAACTACTAACTAGCATAGTTGAACCCTTATGGGATCAGTTATGATTTGGTGATGCGGACTGCGGATCATATCGCTAGGTGGGAAGGGGACGCAAGCAAATCAACGGCATGAAAGACTTCCTTGAGCTCGATTGAACAAGGATCCTGGACACAACGCCCAAAAGACCGATAACATATGCAACGCCAATAGCCTGTGAGTAAAGCCAACTGCGTGAACCAGCCCTAATCGTTCTCATTCAAGGAACGTCACCTCCGGGTTCCCGCAGCCCCTTCCACAAGGTCGATCCTCCAGGAATGGCTCCTGAAGAGCTCGTTCGCGGAAGTCATCATCCACAGCGACAGGGCTCCACTTTCGTGGCGCGGCGGCTGGAGACGCGGCTGCCTAGTTCCCAGTCGCGGTCGGCCCAATGGGTCAGCTCACGCAGGTCGACCACACGAGCGCGGCTTTCGGCGCCGGCTCGTCACTCCCCGAGCGGTCGATCTGCGGTCGTCGACCACCCTTCGACGTGACGTGCACACAGACATCAGCGTTTCCGATGCGGTTACGCTGTGGTCGCGTCACGGTTTCGGTCGCTCGAACGCCAATTACGGTTGGACATTTTCTGGGCGCCATCATGTGGTCGCGACGAGGTTGTTTGGCGGTTCATAGGCGGTTGTTTGGCGGTTCTCAGCAGCCACACGCCGCACCGTACCGCTCACCGTTATTGCTTTGCACACGAAGTACCACCGTTACGGAGCATTCAGCTTGTCGATGGCCACCTCGACTACCCCGTCGGCCACAGAACGTTATCGACCCGAGCCGCCGACACTAGTGTGCAGCCGCTGCCAACAGCTCGTTATTATTGACCACGCCCCGTAATGGGCGTGAGCTATTCAGCGTGGTCAGATGTTAATAGCGCCATAGACCGGGTGCGGAGCGGCGCCGCCAGCTCAGAGCTCATTAGCGGCACCGTGAGCTCCAGCGGTGCTCGGCCCGTGCGGTACCGGAGCGGCGGGATACTCCGCCCACAAAAACCCGACCCATCATCACAGCAAGGTATGGAGATCAGCCCGACCGGCGCACCAGTCGCAGGGCAGGGCCTCCCGAGAACCGACCCGTCCCCGCCAGCAGCATTTCATACCACTTGTAGCAACACGGCACACATCTGTCGGCCTGCTCTGCCGCCATGTTCAACACGCCGCTGACGCCCTGCAGAGTCGTGTACCCATCAGCGCGCCGGGTCCGACCTCGCTCGGGGCATCTTGTACCCTCTCCCTGCACCGCAGAGCCGGTGTAGCTCGTTCGACCAGCTGTTCCCATCAGCGCGGTGCACCTCTCGGCTCAGATCCCGGCATGCTGTGCAGCTGTTACAGTCATCGGAGAGCCGAAACCCCAGCCCGCACCGGTGCACCGGTCGAAAGCGCGATCTGCAACGCTCGTCTCCACTGGGCGCGGTGCTACTGCCATTTCCTAGCGCCGCCGCCGCGTTGCTCCAACTATACTCTCAGCACAGAATGTGTTCCGGCCGTGTTCCCTGTATCTGTTGTGTTCTTGCAGTAATCCCCAGCACTGGCTGCATTCTGGCTGTGCTCCCTGTGTTCAAGCCGTGTTCCCCAGCACCGGCTGTGGTCCACCCGTGCTCTCTCAGTACCAGCTGAATTCTAGCCCCTTTCCCATCGTCAGCTGTTCTCCAGCCGGCGTATTGCGACAGTATCCGTCTCAGCACCGAGGCCGGTTAGCTCTGAGAGCTGTCCCCGACCGCCAACCGGTTCCCCGCGGCAGCTGCCGCCGCACCGGCCTCGAGCGGCCTCCAGAGGCCACGGAGGGCGCCCCGGCTGATAGCGGGCGAGCAGGCGCGGTGTCGGGGCGTCGCCGACATTCCGCCGACATCGCTCGGATGGCGCCCGGTGACGCCGTGAGGTGCGACCGTGTGGACACTGGACAGTCTCCGCGAGCGGGCACACCCTGTAGGCCGTGTTACACTGCCGAATTTTGGCCACGACCCTGTCGCCGAATCACGTCGTGTAGGAAATCGGCGAACAGTTTACCGACAGAGGCGAACAGTTCGCCGACAGAGCCCGATTTGCAGAAAACGGTTGGGGGGCCCCCCTAAACGTGCGCGGGTCAAAGCTGATCCATGATTCGGCGAACATCGCGAATGAATGGCGAATCTGTTGCGAATAGTCGGCGATACCTTGGCAACAAGTCAACGCACGCAGCGACATGTCGGCGGCGACTCGGCGACTGTTTGGCGATCATGTTCGTTTATTATAAATTCGGCGAACGGCCACGAAATTTTCATTTTTCATGAAATATTCGTGGCGGTCGTGACGAACCGTAAAAGTCGCGCGGTGGACACCGACTGGTCTGCGAAATGCCAAGACCATGGAAGAAAGATCCCGAATCGGTCCGCGACATAGGATGACTTGCATATTCGTGCACATTCGTGTAGGTACCAAAATTCGGCAGTGTAACAAGGGCTTGTCCAGTCGCGCGGACCAACTATACCGTGCGGAGAAGCCGGCCACCGTGCGGATAGAGCAGCAATCGTGCGGACACCTTGTATGTACGAGGGGGTATCGAAATGTTCTGATCATTACCATGAATTAGGTGTGATAGAAATTTGATTTTTTTACATGATGTACATTACTTCTTCACAAGTCACCACACACGACCGCAAACTAATTGCATCGTTTCTTGCACTGCCTCAGGCGGTCATTGTAGGACCTTCGCACTAGAGTGTATCGATAACCGAAATTTGCAAGGAAACTGGCATATTATTTGGCGCAAGGACATAAAAATAATATCTGGGCGCAACATTTTCCTCAAAACTCAAAATTGACTGACCCGGAACGGTTTTTGTAAACCCCATTCCAACTGCTGCGGACGTAGGATGAAGCTTTAGTTCTCCCCTTTTGACGCTAGATGGCAGTGATTCCAGACTGTCTCTAACTTAATTTCAGACATCTGTAAACGTAAAAAAGCCATTCGGATTAAATTATGCACATTTTTTACATCATTGGTGTTGGTATATTGCTGTTTTTTCCATTGCAAGTGTTTTTCCATTGCAAACGCATAGCTTTCCACACATTATCACACATAACACAATACACATTACCTATGCATTAGCACCCTGAGCTCTTAAACACGAACAAGTAAATAGCAGATTAGGCAACTATTAGCAACTGAGCTCCTGCCGCATCGTACTTTATGGACTACATATAGCCGGTACAATTGTGTTACCAGCGACCAAATGTCAAAGTGAACACTGGTCAGGTGCTCGGTAACTGGTGACTGGTGAGCCAGTTTGCTTTCTGTCCTATATTACGGCTAATTCACCATCATCCTTGCTTGCACTTCTCCGTGTTCCGGATTAACGGTCCGCCTAGCAGACAACCGATGGAAGTCAGCTTCGGAGTGACCATTTCAACAAATGTATGCTCTAGTCTGTCCCGTTGTGACTTGCCGTCAAAACAGTATGTCCCGGCGCTGAAATGCCGTCCCAGCGGTACAGCGGACTAGTCGTCAGTGGTTGATTGAACCGATTGAGCCTTGGTTGAGTGAACCTTACATTGCCCTCTCCCTCTCGTGTTTTATCATCCCAGCATAGCCTGACTCAAAGCATTGCAGCCATTGTGGTGTCTTTTGACTGAGACGCTGCGGCACACAGCCGGTGCCCGATGGTCGACTTTATTCTGATATTGCCCTCTCCCCGCTAATTCATTTATTCATCATACCACGGCCCTAAAATGTTCTCGAATAGACTAACCCATAGGCTCTAACCAAGCATAACGAACAAACCCACTTAGCAGTCTCCGAACGTCTGCTGTTAAAATTAGTAACCAGTAGGTGAAAACGAAACCGACGAGTGGCCACGTCAAGCGGTCCCTCAGTGCCCCAAAGGTGGTCACTTTCGGGGTAGAACTTGTCACAACTCAGCCTATCCTACCGGACTGCCGTGGGCTCCTCTCTTACCGCGCGGCGAAGACGGTGAATATCGTGCGCTGGTAGTATTACATACAGCTCGCATCTCAAATAAATAGTTACTGCCGGCGAAGGCCCAACCATTCACCGTACTATGGTGCAGGTCCGGTGACTTTTCCGCCGCCCGTGTCACCGCGACCAACGGCGGCGACAGTGCCGTCACCGGTCCCCTCGAGACCCGGCGATGCCGTCTGTATTTGTTTGTTTGTTTGTTTTGTTGGGTTAGGCTCTTTCGGTCCGACAAGACCATTTCAGAGCCGGAATGATGGAATTAGGGGGTGACATTGGTCTGGGCAGGCACCCTAGTGAGTCGCCGGGGCTGAGCCCGTCCAGAGGACAGGCCACCCATCCCCAAAGTACTCACTGCACCCGGCTACGGGGTGCGCTCCCTCGGGAGCCGCGGTGCCGCTCCAAGGGAGCAGCCCGCATGAGATAAAGTTGCCTGTCCAGCCCGGAGGGGGTTTCGGCGTGGAGGAGAAGGATTTCAGTATCCTGAGGATGGAAGCACGGAACGGGTGCCGTCTGTACCGGAACAGCGCACTATCTGTACCCGAACAGGTGCGTCTATGTAGGTGGAATAGGCATACTACCAAACTGAACTGCCGCATGCGAGAGACGGCTACAGTCAACCAGGACTCGTGAGTCTGCGGTGTTTTAATACAGGATCACATGTTAGAGCCCGGTCACCGGCACAGATTGACTGTCAACCAGTCCGTGATATGACCCCTGCTGTAGCTAGCTCACGTTCGGGCCCTGCTCGGCGCACTTGCCGAGGCCAATGACGAGACCGACTTTTACGTCGGTCCTTCTCCGCCGCGCCAACCGAGTTAATAAAATACCTTTCACCATTGCTTTCATAC